AATTTCCTTTTTTGTTAACCCAGGAGAAATGCAACATTTCGCACTAACCTCCACTACCCAACTAAAATTCCTGGAGGGAGGGGCGTTCGAGAGGAGTTTTAACCTGCATTTCAGGTTCAACCCCCCTTTTGAGCCACCCGAATCTTGGAATCCCACCCGAGGAAGATCCCGGTACTTCCCCTTTTTTGAGAAACAATCCCGATTTGTTACCATCGTTCCTGCCTCTTCCTGGTCAACGTGGAAAATTCAATCCCAGAATCCCCGCCCTTAAAGAGCACTCTCTATACCTAGCCTCCAAGTAATTGGATTACAGGAGTACACCACCACCGCCACCACCACTTCCGGCTTCCCTACATTTTCCCCCGCCATTTTTTTTTTTTTAAAGATATTTTAAAAAAAAAACCTTTAGAAAATTATAATTAAATTTTTAATTTTCTTTTTTCTTTTTTTTTTTTTCTTGTCGTTCTTAATAGAAACTAGTTAAGTTTATAAAAAAAAAATAAGAATAATAATAATAATAATGAAATGTCAACTTTATTTTTTAGAAGGCGGGGGGGGAGGGGAAAAAAAGTATTTTTCCACCGGGAAAAAAAGGATTAAAGGCTTAATTTTATTGAATTTTCCTGTTTTAAGTTTTCATAATTTATTATTCGAATAATAATAAAAACGTTTTTTTTTTTTTTTCTACCGTCAATATTTTAGTTTTAATTTTTTTTTTCTTCTTTATCATTATTATTATTATTAAAATCAATTGAAATGAATAAAGAAAAAAAGAGAGAGAGAGAGAGAGAGAAATTTATGTTCGAATCTTAAGTAAAACAGTCAGGTTTAAGGGGTTTTTCAATTTTAAAAAGTGGAACTGTCTCCATTATTTGTCCCAAACGTATAGTTTTGAAACACGTTGGAAAATTCACAGTAATTTTATTATTGTTTCGGAAAAAAAAAAAATTTTCCTTCTTTTTTCTTTTTCTTTTCCTTTTAAATTATTGAAAAAAAAGAAAAAATATAGAAAATATGGTTTTTTATTTATTTATGCATTCGGGAATGCATTTAAAAAAAAAATAAAAAATTCCCCCTCTCCCCTCCCTCGCTCCCTCCCTTTTTGTAAAAAACAATCGTGGAATTATTTAAAAAAAAAAAAAAAAAGTTTTTAAACATTTATCCACAATTTTAAATAAATAAATAAATAATAATAATTTATTTATAAATTTTAACAGATTTCGTTCGATGGATTAAAAACGAATGGAAAAAGTTAAAAATAAAAAATTAAAATGTCGCATGTGCTATTATTATTATTATTATTATTTTTTAAAACATTTATCGCATCAAATTATAAATGTAGGAAGAGTTTTTGGTAAATATTGGTCGTCAAAATGATTTCATAATATTGACATTATTTCAGGGAGAAAACAAATATTGACCTTGTTATTATAGAACATTTTTATATTATTTTTCCTTTTTCTTTTTTCCTTTTTCTTTTTTCCTTTTAATCTTTTCATTAAAAATGCCATAACGTACTACCTTTTGTTGGATTTTTACAAAAAAAAAGGAAACGAAAAAAAAAAAAAAATCTCTTTTATCAACATTGTTTGTTTTTTTTTCTCGTCCCCCCCCCGTATTGATTTTTTTCCTCTCTCCCTCTCTTTTTAATAATATATATATATTTCAAAATAACATATAATCTTTTTTTTTTAGTGAAAAAAAAAATTATGTATTATTTTTAATTAATTAATTAATCGCGAAGGGAATATTATTATTAACATAATTTTAAAAAATTATATTCCTGGATATACATAAAAAAAAAACCAATAATAATAATAATAAATTTATTTAATTTGTTTAGATTTAATAAAAAAGAAAAGTAAAAAAAAAAAAAAAAATTATTATTATTATTTATTTATGTATTTATTTATTTTTCCTGCTATCAACTTGTGCTTTCGAATCACTTTTGAATTTTTTTTTTTTTTTTTATTACTTTTGAATTCAATTGTTTTTTTTTTTTTTTTTAGTATTTTATTTTAGCGGTTTTTTTTTTCTAGAAAAAAAAAAATTAATTCGGGCGCCTTAAATTCGGCGACAATTTTTTATGTCGCGTCGTTTTATATTGATTAACACACTTGTGTTCTAAGAATTTTCTTTTTTTTTTTCGATTAAACTTTTGTTTTTTCACCTATTTTTCATCAAAATAAATTACTCTACAATCAAAATACATTTTTAAAAAATTATTGATTTAAATAAGTAATAAATAATTAATAAAAAACGCAAGGTAACCAAAAAAAAAATTACTAATAATATTTATTAATTCGTTTAAGAAAAATATTATTAATAATAATTTCGAAACGAATCATAATAAAAATTTCATTAACGTAATTTATTACCGAATAATAATTACATTTACAACCGAAAAATAATTTTTTTTTATTAAAATCCGCCATCTTAAATTGTTATTATTATTATTATTATTTAAATCATTGAAAATTTTTGAACCTAAAAAAAAATTTGTTTTAAAACGTTTTATTAAATCTCATCGAAAAATAATAATAATAATAAAAAGGATAAGAGAAATAATTGGGGATAGAAGTAGAGAAAAATAAGTTAACAGGAAACGGAAATTGAAAAAGGATGTTTTCGGATAGAAAAAAAAAAAAATTACTTCGTTACTTAATCAAGAATCATCGGAAAATAGAAAAAAAAAAAACTTGAAATGTTTTCGTGTTTTATATTTTTAACACCATTCTCATCATCATCATCATCATCATATAAAATATATTTATTTATTTATTTATTTTTAATAAAAAAAAAAAAGAAAAACATTAAAAGTGATTTATTTTTTTAAATGCAAAAAGTCAGTAGCAAAATTTAAAAAAAAAAAAAAAAGAAAATATTATATTTTAATACGAGTAATAAAAAAAAAGTAATAAAAATAAATTTAAATGTCATTTGCAACAGATAATTTTTTTTTTTTTTTTTTTTTTTTATATGTAAAAAAATTTATTTTTAAGTTTAAAAAAAAAAAAAGGAAAACTGCATTTAAAATTTTCCTTTTTTTTTTTTTTTTTATTACAAAAGTAGTGAGTGCACCAGCACTTGACGTCGTTTTTTTTTTTGCCGTATAAGCGTATATAAATTTTTATCACATAACTGATAATGATAATGATGATAAATTGAATGAAAAGGGAATTTATTTAAAAAGTATCGATATCGATTGGTTCAAACACACACACACACAAAATTTTTTGTTTTCTCCTCCTTTTTTTTCTTTTTCTTTCTTTAAATAAAACATTTATTATGTTTTTTTTATGTTTTTATTATGTTTTTTATGTTTTTTTTTTTTGAAACGTTTAACGAATGAATTTTAATTAAAAATAGTATTAAAATGCGACATTTTATTTTTTATAGGTTAAAAAATAAAAAAAAAATTTTTTTTTCGGTGACATCATTTTTTTACCACGTGTAAGATTAGACAGAGAGAGAGAGAGAGAGAGAGAGAGAGAGAGAGAGAGAGAGAAAGAAAGAAAGAAAAGGATTTAAAGGTAATAATAATAATAACGTAAACTTTTCCGTTTTGATAATTATTAACAGTTTTTTTTTTTTTTTTTAATAAAACCAACAAAATAATAATTTATTTTTTATGTACATAAAATAAAACAAAAACAAATAAAATATGATTTATATGGATTTTCACTTCGAAGGCATGATTTTAATAGTAAATTTTAAAATGTCAAGATTTTTAACCTGAAAAATTTCCTTTTTTCCTTTTTTCCTTTTTTTGAATGCCAAATAAGAAAAGGTTAATTTTTTTTTTTTTTTTTGATTACTCATAACTACTCACCTTTAAAATTTTTTTAATTATTATCCCTTTACCATTATTATTATTATTATTATTATTATTATTATTATTATTACCACTTTAACTCCTCCCTTCCTCCACTTCGATTTCCCCCTTCGTTCCCCCTTCCCTTCAAAGAAACCTTTTTTAAAAATTAACCTGATAATTATTTTTAAAAAAAAGTGTTGTTGTTGTTTTTTTCTTCTTATTAATATCAAATTAAAAAAATTAAATTGATTAATTAATTAATTATTAAATTAATAATAATAATAATAATAATAATAATGGAATAAACGTAAATAAATTATTATTTTTCTCGTAATTAAAATAAAATTTCAACGCCTTGTTGTTAAAAAAAAAAATTTAATTTTATTAAAAATGTTTTATTTATTTATTTATCGTTATCATCATCATCATCATTATTATTATCACGTTATAAACTTTTTTAATTAGTGTTTAATTACGTTATGTATATATTTAAGGCGTTGCGATTATTATTATTATTATTATTTTTATATTAAAATAAAATAAAAAGAAAAGAAAAGAAAAAAACATAAATAAATTTTATTTAAAAGTTTACATAAACTAATAATAATTAATAATTAATAAGTGGTAATAATAAAATTAATATTATTTTTAATTAAATACGGGAATCGAAATGAAATTTATTATCATTATTATTATTATTATTAAACTCACTTATTTGAGCATTCGACATTTTTATTATTTATGTTTTTTTATTTCTATTTATTTATTTATATATAATTATATATTTATTTTCATTTAATACCTAAAAACAAAATTTATATTAATTTTTTTCTAATAATAATAATAAAAAATGATAATAATAATAATAATATTTATTAAAATCAAGTATTAGTAGGTGAAAATGGTAGTAATAATAATAATAATAATAAATAAAAACGTGAATCACAATATATATATTTATAAATTTTTTTTTTCTATATCAAATATTTATCCGTTCCATTTATTTATTTATTTATAAACTTATGTATATTTATTTTTAAATAAAATTATTATTATTATTATTATTAATGAATGGTTAGATGTATGTATATATACAAAAGGCGTGTAGGTGGGAGGTTTAGGAAATTATTTATAAATAAAATACCTCGGTTCAGGAAGAAGTAACAAAAACTAAAAAAGAAAGAAAAAAAACTGCCGCAGGATGTTCGAGTCGCAATTGGCCACCGTGTTGCATGGCTGCCGGATGTTCTCCTGGAAAAACAAACAAAAAAACTAATAATAATAATATTAAAAATGGAAAAAAATGGGGAAAATTATTTAAATTAAAGCGAAATGAAAACAAGTATTTCCGGTCAAGTGAAAAAAAAAAAATGAAAATAAATTTAAATATTTTTCGAATAAATAATTACTTTTTTTTTTTTTTTTATTGTCTTAAAATTTAATAAGTCGACGTTTTTATTATAAAAAACTGGAGAAAAACTGGAGAAAAAATTGGAGGAAAAAAAATGGAGAATTTTCTTTTTTTTTTTTTTTCTCTCCATGAATTTTAAAATTTAAATAATCTTTTATAAGAATTTTGTTGATAAATTTGTTACGGTAAAAAAAAAAATTTATCATTAACTTTCTTAATTTAAATTCTTAACAAACATGTTTTTTTTTTTTTTTTATATAAGAATAATAAACTTTTACGAAAGAGGAAAAGAGAGAGAAAACGAGAGAGAGAGAGAGAGAGAGAGAAAGAGAGAGAGGAAAAGAAAACAGAGAAAATAGAAAAAAAAAAAAACTTTTTTTTAATGTAATAATATATATATATATATATATAGATATATAAGAGAATCGAATAAGCACGTAAAATGTTTACGTAAAAAAAAAACGTGTATTTAACCTCGATTTGGTTTCTTTTTTTTTTTTTCTTTAAAAACTAATAACACTTCAAATTATTTCGTTCCACGTTTTTTTTTTTAATATAAATAGTAGCTATAAAATTGGTAAAAGTCGACAGAGACCACCTGAGGACAAAGTTAACAACGTTTCAATTTTTAAAATAAAAAAAAAATTTTTTTTTCTTTTAAAAGGTTAAAAAAAAACAAATTTTCTTTTTTTTTTTCGAATTCAAAAAAATAAAAAAGAAAAAAAAATTTTTTTTTTTAAAAAAGGTTAAAAGGTAGAAAACATTTGATTTGAACCTTTTTTACCCAGGTGTAAATTCAAAAAAAAATCAAATAACGTTTTTTTAATGCGATTTATTTATTTATTTTAACGTGGGGGGCGTTAAACGCGCGTGTGTTGTTGTTATTTCGTATCGAAACATTTGTTTTATTCGAACGAATATTTAGAAAAACGTGGAAGAAGAAGAAGAGGAAGAAGAAGGAGAGGAAGAAGAAGGAGAAAAAAAAAGGGGGGAAAAAAATTAATAAACAATATTATAGACGAGGGAAATTTCAAATATTTTCTTCGTTTTTTTTTTTTTTTTTAAAACTGGAGGGATGATGACGTGGAATTAAAGGAAGTGTTAAGGAAGACGTGAAAGGAGTTGATTTTTAATGAAAGAATATTTTGTGGTTTTTAAAACCCGATTTTAAAATCGGATCATATTTTTGGTTAAATTTGAACCAATAAGACGACCACTTCTCATTAATATAATTTTTTTTTTAGTTAAAAAACTTTTAATTTTGTTTTTATTTATTATTTTTATTTTTATATTAATTGAAAGAAATGAGAGAGAGAGAGAGAGAGTTATTAATAAAAAACATGATTTTTTGTTTTCATAACACAAATAATTATTTAATTTTGATTCGAAAAGATAATTTTTATAAAGAGAACGAATTACATAAACGTAAAATTTATGACTGGCATGTTTTTTAACAATAATTATTTGATCGGATAGGGAAAAACCTGTCGGAAAAAAAGAAAAATCATTTTTTTATTTAATTTATTAACTTTTCTTTAAAAAAAAAAAAAAATTTTTTTTTTCTTTCAAAACCGCTGATTAACGTCATCTGCTAAACAATTTGAAATTCATTTTTTACTGTAAATAATAATAAAGAAAAAAAAACTTTTCGATTTCTTACTTTCTTTTTTTTTTAAATATTTTATAATTCCCGTTACACCCGTTAATAAAATATATACATAAATATCGTTTTTGAAATTTTTCTTTTTTACATTAAAATTAATTTTTACTTCCGGTTTGAGTTTTCCCTTCTTTTTTCTTCTTTTTTCTACTCTGTTGTTATTGTCATAAAAATAAATAATATCTATGAATAATTCATGAGAATTCGAAAAAAAAAAAAAAAAAAAAAAGAAGAAGAAGAAATTTAATTATACGTTATAAAGTACATTTACGTATATAAAAAAGAATAGCTTAAAATTTGTCAGACGTACATAAATATTTTTTTTAAATTGCTTTTATTAATAGCAATTCATTTAGTTTATTAATATTAACGCAAAAACAACCACAACAATAATGATAATAATGATGATGATGATGATGATGACGATGATAATAAAACAAAATTAAGAAAATGAAAATTATTTATTTTAATTACGTTTAATTGTTTTATTTCTTTTTTTTTGAATACAAATAAGAAAAACCAAAAAAAAAAGAAAAAAAAAGGAAAATTAAATTTCTTATGAAAATTTTTTAAGAAAACCGGTAATAATGATGATAATAATAATAATTTTAAATTATTGTTCATCTGTAAAAAAAGTATATATATATATATTAGTTTTTCTTTTTTCTTACTTTTATTTTATTTTATTTTTTGTGTGTCGAGAAAGAAAGAAACCGATTAATCATTTTCGAGGACAGATTTTCTTTTTTTTTTTTTTTTTTTTTAGGAAAAATTCATGTTTTTTTTTTATTTTTTATTTTTTGCTAACCTAAATTAAGGTTTATGGCAAGTTCTAAAAAAACGTTTTATTGCCACTGGGAACTTCTTCACAAGATTTTTATCACTCTCCAGACATATATCTCTAAAAGGTAACGGCGTGGAAACGTTTTTACGCTGAAGTTAAAACGTGGTTTGTGGACTTTCTTAGTTTTTTTTTAAAACTTTTCTTTTTTCTACTACTGCTTAAAAGAATTTTCTCTTCTTTTTTTTTCAACCTTTTAAATATCCCTTACGACAAATTTATAAATTGTTATTATTATTATTGATAAATCTCATCAAATGAAAGAATGACGAGGATATCGATGCTCTGTATTAAGAAAAAACTTTTTCGGACATTTTTTTTTTTTATTATGTCGGATAATTAAAAACTTTTTCCGTAAATAAAATTTTTAATTCCAGTATGAAAAGCTTTGATCTTAATTTATACGTTTTCAACATTTTTCTTAAGCTTGCCCCCAACCCCCCTCCCAGAAATTTTCTTTTATGTGAATATACGTATATACCTTTCAAACTTTTTCTTTTAAAAAAAAAACCCCCCGTGAAAAGTTATTTTAGTAATTTTCCTCATTTTGATAATTTTGTTTTTGTTTAAGTTTTTATAAACCCCCCCCCTTTTCCTCCTCCCCATTCTCCTTTTCCTCCTCCCCATTCTCCTTTTCCTCCTTCTCCTTCCCTTGCGTCCCTTCCCCCCGCGAACAAAAAAAAAACAAAAAATTTTCTTAACTTTCACTTTCACTTTTAATTCATTATTTAAATAAAAAAAATTTTTTTCTCTTATTTATTTTAAAAAATTTTCCAAGGATTTAAATTTATTTCGAAAACATCATCATTATTATTATCGAATATCAAAGTTATAGAAATGCTATTGCAATCATTATCATCATCATCGTGTTTTTTTTAATTTTCCAGTTCGGTTAAAACCGAGAAAATATTTGTTTAGGAACGAAAAGGATTTATTAATATCAAGACACCGGTGGGGAGGGGAGGGGTTTAAAAATCGTTTTAAACAAACTAAAACACATCAGGAACAACAAACGCACGCACGCACATTTAAAAACTATCGTTTTTGATATTTAATAATAATAATAATAAAATATTTCATTTCATTCAAAACAAACAAACCGCGGAAAAGAAAAAAAAAGGCAAACAAACAAACAAACTTAACACAGATTTTCACATAATTTATTTTTCATTATTCGGAAAAATTTTAACTTTTACTAATAATTTCAAAAAAAAAAAAAAATTACATGAAATAAATTTTGCTTAATTTTACAAAAAGAAAAAAAAAAAAAAACTTTTTTTTTGCTTACTTACTAACTAAAAATTTTCCTCTAAAAGAAATTTCAAACGGGGAATTTTTTTTTTTCTTTTTTTACATATTTTCCCTTCCCCCTCTTCCCTCCTCTCTCCTCCCCCTCCGCGAATCCTTTTTCTTTTTTACATCGTTCATCACATTTTAAAAACTTTTTTTCGTTTTTTTTTTCCTTTTTTTTTTCCTCGTTTTTTCTATCCATTTCAATTTATCCGATTTTAAACGGCAGAGAGGAGTAAGGGGAGGGATTAGGGGAGGTAGGGGAGACGGCGTGAGAACAAAAAAGAAAAATAAAAAATTTTACCTTTATTTGAGAAAAAGATTCACACACAAATAAAAAGAGAAAAAAACAGGAAAAAAAAATTATAAAAAATTAAAATCGGATTTTTTTTCTCTTTCTCTCCCCCTCTCTCCTCTCTCTTTTCCCTCGGGCCAAAAACTATTTAATAGATTATTATTATTATTATTTATTGATTTTAAAAAAGGTATAAACGTTAACCAAACAATGAAACCTTCGTTCGTTCGTTCGTTGAAAATTATTAAAAAATAATTTTTTTTTTTAACAACAACAACAAACGGGGGGGGGGGGGCCGGCGTGAAGGAAGAAGCGAAGGGGAAGGGGAGGAAGAGGGAAGAAAAAGGAATCGAAATCTAAAATAATCCATCATAATACCTGTCAATTCCAATAAACGTGTGAAATGCTCCTCCTCACTCGCTAACCTTTTCAAATTTTTTTTAATTTTTTTTTATCGAACACCATGCGATTTCATTTTAAAAAAAAAACAGTTATAAAATAATAATAATGATAATAATAATAATAATAAATTACCGTTTAATACGTGAACTACCACAGTCTTTGGATTTGCATTTGAAGGATTGCAAGTGTATTTTCCAGAATCTGGAGGTTTTGCTCGTTGTATTAATAAATAACTTGTTGTTATGTCACCCTTTTCGGTGATAACACTAACACCTCCTCTTGGAGAATCGTAATTTATTTCCTGGAAGGAAAAAATAAATAAATAAATAAATAAATAGGTGAGAGGGAAAAAAGAATAGTAAATCCAAATTAAAAAAAAAAAAATATCTTCTGCTCTGATTGTGTTTATACAATAATTTCAATCCGTTAAAACCCTTTTCATATTTAATTTTCCATAAAATAAATTTTTTAGAGTTAAACCCCACCCGTAAAAAAAAATGTTTTTTTCGTCTCTCTTCTCTCCTCTCCTCTCCTCTCTTTTACTCCATCTTTATTACTTTAAATTTATTTATTTCGAGTTAAATTAAATGTTAATTTAATAAATTTTCAATTTGAATGCGTGCTTATAAGGAAAAAAAAGAAAATTTACAAACTATAGCTAACACATGTTAAACCGCTCAAAAATTTTACGCGCGTGCGCTTTTAAAAAAAAAATTATCATTATTATTATTATTGCTTTAAAATGGTAATGACGTCACATTTTTTTTCGTAAAGAAGAAGAAGAAATGGAAACGTCGTTGCAATTCGATATATAATAGAAAAATTTGTTTTTAAATTTTTTTTACATAACGATTTTAAATGAAAATTTATTCGAAGGATTTAAAAAGAGAGAGAGAGAGAGAGAGAGAGAGAGAGAGTGAGAGAGAGGGAGAGATTTGAAAATGCGGTCAAAAAAAGGACATTATAAAATTATATGAAAGAGGGTTAAAACCTTTTTTTTTTTTTTTTTTTTTTAGTACTTCTTCTACTTTTTTTTCCGCCATTTTCTATAAAAATTTACATGCCGTTCATAGACCCCCCTCTTTTGGATCATTTTAACACGGCCAACTTTACCCTCGATAGGATAAAAAGGTTGAATGTCGGGCGCCTCGTTTTTAAAAAATGATAATAATGATGAAAAAAAAGACTTACTTTTGAATTGTGTGTCCAAAATATTGCTGGCGGTGGTTCAGGACTGTGTTTTACAACGCATGTTAAATTCATTGTGCTGCCCTTGTTTATGTAAATATCTGGACCCCCAAATATTGTTGTTATGGGTTCTGAAACATTTTTTTATTAAACAATAAATAATTTTTTATTTATTTATTTTTCAAATTAAACAAAAAATTTGTCGAAACTTTTATTAAAAAAAAAAAAAAGAAAAAAGGGGAAAAAAGGAAAAGAAGAAGGAAAATTCATTCAAAATTTTTTTCCTTTTTTTTTTTTTACTTTTCATTCACGGATTTGTATATTTTCCGGTAGAATTATTACCGAGATTTTGCCAAAAATTTCCTTTTCCCCCCTCCCCATTTTTTCCTTTTTTATGTTATTCTTTTTCCTTCTCTCTCTTTCTCTCTCTCTCTCGATTTAAACATAATTTTTCAGACAAAACAACCAAAGAAAAAAGAGAGAGAGAGAGAAAAAGAAGGAAAAAACTTTTTTTTTTTTTTTCTATTTCCACGATAAAATTTATCCAACCTCTAAATAGTTTTTTATAGTAAATTCTCTCTATCAATTACCACATTCAATTTATTTTCTTTGTTTTGTACCCGCCCACATTTTCCTTTTTCCTAAATTTGATTTGGGTTCATTATTTGGACCGACGACCAAACCCTTTCATGATTTTCTTCATTCACATCTAAATCAGGTGAAATTAATCACAAATGATGATGATAATACTAATAATAATTCTTTTAATAAATTTTATCCTCTCTCTCTCTCTGTCTCTCGTACATAAAAACACTCCGAAAAAAATTATTATTAATATTATTTTTCCTTTTCTTTTATTTTTTCCTTCATTCCATTTTTTTTTAGCCGGATAACTGTTACTAAGTTATTATTAATGAAAAAGTTACGCTAACATTTTTCTTAACTTTATTTAAATTATCCCTCTGTAAAAAAAAAAAAAAATTTTTTTTTTTTTTATTAACTTTTGAGTTTTCTTTTTTTCCTTTTTTTTTTTTACTTTTTCCTTTTCCCCCTTTCCCTCCTCCTCTTCCTCCTTTCAGTTCTTTCTTTTTCATCAATTCTTTATGCACTCATTCATTATTAAACAACTTTTTCTTTCTTTTAACATTATTCGCATCAGTTCCGCTTTTTTTTTTTTTTCATTTTGTTTCGTTTCTTTTTCTGTTTTTTTTTTTTTTTTTTATTTGAATTATTAAATGAAGAGTACGTGAGTGACGTAAATTATTTTCGCGTTAGAATCAATTTAGAAGAAAAAGAAGAAGAAAAGGAAAAAGAAGAGGAAGAAGAAGAAGAAAAAAAACATTCCTATTATTATTAGGATTTTTCGATATGTATTTTTTTTTTTTTTAAATCATTCTAATCAAAAGTTAAATTTTGCCAAAAAGTTATCCTTCCTTTTCTTCCTTGTTTTTCTTTCTGCTCCTCCCCCTTCTCTACCTCCTTCTCCTTCCCCCCTTTACCCTCTTAAATAAAATGAAAACCAGGTTTTGCCCTCGTTTCTCTCACTCGGAAAAAACGTCAGACGAAAATTAAATTTTACCGCTGGTTGAAAATAAAATTTTATTTTCTTTTTACCTTTTTTCCAACCTTCTTCTTTTTCCTCTTTCTCTTCTTTCTCTTTTTCTTCTTTCTTTCTTTACCATTATCAAACGAATATTTTCTTTTTGTGTATAATTTTCTTCTTTTTTCTTTTTTTTTATAATTTTTATTTTATTAAAACTTTTAAAACAAATTTAAAAGCGACAACGGTTTTATTTTGGTTAAAACAAAAAAGAAAAGAATGAATAAAAAAAAATAAAAAATAATAAAAATGATAATAATGATAATAATAATAATAATAATAATAATAATAATAATATTAATAATAATAATAATAATAATAATAATAATAATAATAATAATAATAATAAATTTTCACCGGAAACGAGGAATAAAAGCAGAAAAAAACTCACAGACGTAGTAAGAAGCTTCAGGTGGATTTAGGCATGAGAAAAAATCTTTTTTTTCCGCAACTTTTTTTTTTCTCTTCTTCTTCCTTTCCCTTCTTTTTTTTTCTTTTTTTTTTCTTATTATTTTCTCTCAATTTCAAAAAGTTTAAATCTTTTTAAATTATTATTATTATTATTATTATTATTATTATTATTATTAATATTATTATTATTATTTATCAGGAAAACCCGAAGCAATTTTTATTAAAGAGCGGGAGAGGGATGGAGAAAAATAACGAAAGACTTTTCAACACTTGAAAAAAAAAAATCCGTTTTCCTCTTACCCCTCTTCCGCCCCCCCATTTTTTTACTCGAGGTAACTTCCGGCAATTTCGATCGTTCTATAATCATCATCATCATCATCATCCTCATTATTTTAACGACAGTATGTACGTTTATTTTAATTTATAAAACGAATTCCGTACAAAATATTAATAATAATAATAATTTTTTTTGGGGTAGGTTAAGAAAAATATAATCGTTACCTTTGAAAAAGAAAAAAAGGAAGAAAAAAAAAGAAACTTGACGATTCGACCAATGAGAGCAAACGACGACGATGATAATAATAATAACAAATAAAATAAAATAATAAAAGAAAAAGAAGTGAAAGAGAAAGAAAAAGAATAGAATTTTTTTTTTCTTTAAATGTAAAAATACGAGAGTGAATAAAAAAAAAAAAGGAAAAAAAAAGGAAAAAATGTCTCGCAAACGAAGTTTTTTCCTTTTTTTTTTCCTTTGACATAATTAATATTTATAATATATAATGTAATATAAAACGTCATCGTAAAAATATTTAAAATATTTTTTTTTTTTGTTTGTAAAAACGTGTAATTATGTGAATGTTTAGTTTTTCACGTAAAAAAAAAAGAAAAAGAAAATTTCATTTCATTTTCCTTTTTTATTTTTTGACATTTCACATTTAAAATTCAGCTTTTTTTTTTTCATTCCTTTTTTTTTTGCTAAAGCGAAATCAAAATGGCGGAGTAAAGGATGAAATTTAATGTTTTCTGACGCGTTTGTCTAAACCGTTTAATTTATTTAATCTTGTTAAATCTAATTTAAATCAAAAAAAAAGTCGAGAAAAGTTTTTTTTTTTTGTCGTCGTCGAAGTATATGCTGTTAAAAATTACTTTTTTTAATGGGTAACCGTGTTCCCCCTCCCCTCCCTTTCATCCCTCCCCCCCCCCATTTCCCGTAAAAAATTTCAAATTGTTTTACAAAAAAAAAAAAAAAAAAAAACGCGCAAAAATTGATTTTTTTAAGAAATTTAAATCGACGTGAAAATTTTTTGTAATAAAAAAAAAACGTAAGTTGAATGAGGTTTAAATGTAAAAATAAATATAATTTCATTTCATTTTATTTTCAATAACTACGACTACAGAAAAATGCATGAATGTCCAATGGGCGGCGTTGTGCTTACTTGGCACTCGTACATTCGGAGTCTCTTCTTTGCGGGTATCTCACCTGGAGCGTCCAGTCTTCTGTTTGTGGTAAATGTATTGTTTGAAATCTTTGATCGCTCGTGTATGTATAACGTCCGACCGTTAATAAATGTATGTCTCTGTGACGAACCCACGAAACCTTTTAAACAAAAAAAAAAAAAAAAAGGAAAATTTAATATTATTATTTTCTTTTTCGTCGGATTAAATTTTTTCTTCTTTCCTCTTTCCCCCACCCTCTCCTTTTTTTTTTAAATTTAAAATTGAGAAAAAAATTCAAGATTCATTTTTTGACGGTAGATTGTAAAAATAAATTTTTCTTCTTTTTTCCTGTTTTTCACGGGCAGGAAATGGGGGGGGGGGAGAAAGGCTCAAAACCAACTCATCCTTTTTGTTACCTATTTTCATTTTTTTTAACCCCTCCCTCTTTTTTTATGAATTTCATTTTTTTTTTTTTTGAATGGATTCAATTGAGTGTAAAATTAAATTTCAATTTTTTAAAACAAAAAAAAAGTTTCTTCAATTAAAAAACTCAGTCGGAGGTCAAAACGTTAAAAATTTATTTTTATTTTAATTTTTGAAATTTATTATTATTATCATCATTCAAAAGATTCGAGAATTTTCTTATTATTATTATTATTACGTAATATTAAAATATTTATCACTTAATCAAAAAAAATTATTAAAAACACGTCATGACAACAAAACCGTTAACATTTTGCTTTTTTTTTTTTAAATTTTTCTGACACGTTTTCTTCTTGTTCATGCGGTTCCCCCCACTCCACCCCCTTACTCCCCTCTAAATAAAAAACATTTTTATCATACGATTGACCTTTGACATAACATAAACCGATCACTTTTTCATTGTTAATCGTTCGTTTAATTTCACAGTAAAGCAAAAGCAAAAAAAATTAATTAATTATTGAGTTTATTTATTATTATTTTTTATAAATACATAAATTAATATTATTATCATCACCATCATTATTATTATTAAAATAATTACCCGATAAGGAATGAAAGAAAGAAAGAAAGGAAAACCTTTTTTTTTTTTAATAGCAACGTGATTTTTAATATCGAAAAAAATTTTTTTTTATTCCCATTTATTTATACGAACTAATAAAGCATAAGAAAATTATTAAGACGTTTTCTTTTTTTTTTTAAGTTAATTAAAATGATTAATTAACGACGCCATCTTTTTTTTTTTATTATTCTTTTTTAATTTAAATCGTTCTAATAAAGTTTTTCATTTTTTTTTTGTTTTTTATTAAAATTTTTGTCGTTTTCGTTTTTTAATAAATTATTCGGGTTTAATAGTCTTTTTATTAAACTATTTTAATAATTTTTTTTTTAAGCTTTTGATAAACCAACAAAAAATTTGTTCTAGAAAATTTTTTAAGTCTTCACTCTCTCTCTCTCTCTCTCTCTCTCTTGCCCTTTTCATTCATTCAATTTTACATTTCAATTATTATCATTATCATTAACGTTTGTTTTTCTTGTTTATAATTATAAATTAAAGAAAAAAAAAATTAATATTAATAATAATAATGTAAATACATTTATGAAAGACTTTTTATTTCTTATCTTACGTAAGAAGGAAGAGGGCGCGGTGAAGGGGGGTGGTGGTGGTGGTTGGTGCGGGGGAGGGAGAGGTGTGTGGAGGGTAAAAAAAAGAAAAACTTTTTCAAGTTTTGACAACTTGATTCTTAAATTTATGTAAGTTTTCATTTTTTTCTTTTTTTTAAAAAAAAAAAAAACTTTATTTGAACTTAAAATTAACTTTTTTTTTTTTATATATTTTTTTAAATTAATTTTTATTGGTTGCAAATCCAAGATAAGGGGAGTAAAAAAAAAAAAAAATTTTTTTTCTTTTTTCCTTTTTTTTTTAATGAATATTAAAAAAGATTTTTTTTTTTCTACTTTATTAATAATTCAAAAGCACGAAATTGGTTTGGTACAATGTAAAAAAAAAAAAAAAATATTTGACAAATTCATAACTTTTATATATAAATATATATAAAAACTTTAACTCATCGTTAATTTAACTTTTTTCCCTTAAAGTACCCTCCCCTTCCCCTCCCCTTCCCTTCCCCCCTCCACCTCCCCGTTTCATCCACCTCCTTTCCCTTCCCCTCTTCCCTCTCTCCAGAAAAAAAACATTTTAAATCTCTAAGCTTAAACCTTTATTTAAATTTAAATATGAAAAAAAAAAAATTCCTTCTACTTTGTTTATTTATATACATATTTATTTTTTTTATTATAAAAATCGATTTTTCCTCTCCTATCTACTCCCACTGCAAATATTTTATTTATAAATTATTATTATTATTATTATTACTATCCCTCAAAATGACAACAATTCGTTTTGATGTTTGTTTCGGATTTTTTTTCAAAATTCATTCCAGGTTTCTGCCCGTCGATCCCTAAGGAATATCAGTTATGCTGTTGCATTCTTGAATATGTTTCGTCTTGTTATGATCTATGACGTCACAAAAATTCTCTTAAGTCTTCCTGTGCAATCTTATACGATGGAAACGAGTTATTTCCATCTGGTTCTGGGCTCAAATGTGGAGTGGCCGGAAACAGGAAGAGTGAGATTCGCAACCTTGTCGAGCTGATTCGAGTCGATAATAAAACAAGATTTCTTTTTGTTTTGCCTTCATATTGTTTTCAATTATCATCATCATCATCATCATCATCATCATTATTATTATTATTATTATTATTATTATTATTATTATTATTATTATTATTAATAAATAATTGAATCGTTAAATAAATTTAAACTCTGTACGAAAATTTTAAAAATAAAAAATGGCGATTTGATAAAATACTCATCGATTCGTTTTTTTTTTTTTTTTTATTAAAAAAAAATTAAAAGGAAAAAAGTATTAATAATAATAATAATATGCCAAAGGTCGTGCGATTTGGGATACAGAATCGGATGCGATTAGAATTTGGATGAGTGACCACAAGACAAAAATAATTTTTGCTGACCTGAAACATCTTTTGATCCCGATACCTTCACAGATGTTTCCGTCACCGGAAGTGAGTTCGGAAATCACAAAAAGAATTAATTTGATGCTGTTTGCGTACGCAATTATTCCCGAGGGATGTGGGTAAAAATAAGTAGTAGAATAAAAACACACAATTGTTGTAATAATAATAATAATAATATTTGTTTTTATATTATCAGGTACGATAAAATACATTTTTTAAAAAGAAGAAAATAAATGCTGTCACGTCAGCGTAAAAATTTATAATAAATAAATAATCTTATTTAAAAAAAAGATAAAAAGGATTCCTCTCGTTTTAAATGTTTCTGACAAAACTATTTTATATATAATAATAATAATAATAATAATAATAATAATAATAATAATAATAATAATAATAATAATAATCATACCAAAATGCCATAATTGGAATGGGAAAATACATAGAATCCCATCGAGAGGACCCCATCTTAGCCCAAGTTATACATGCAGAAGAAAAAACTACAAAAAAAGGAGTTCTGAAAAGGGCAAAACAAATCGTCCAAGAAAATAAAGAAAACGAGATAATGGAAGAGGGGCAACTTGCAACTTATAATAGCAAAGCCCAATCTCAGAAGAAATTAAAAGGCAAATGGGAACAGAAAAAATTACATGGGCAATACCTAAAAAGAATAAATGCCGAAGATATTAATAAGAAGAGCACGCACAATTGGCTACGACGTGGAAAACTTAAAATAGAAACAGAAGCCTTTATTACAGCGGCTCAAGATCAGGCATTGCGGACCCATAACTATGAAAAAGTAATTCTCAAAGTCCGCCAAGATGACAAGTGCCGAATTTGCCAATCACAATCGGAAACCATCGATCATTTAATTTCTGGTTGTCCGATACTGGCAAAACATGAATACTTAGAAAGGCACAATAAAATATGTCAATATCTCCATTAGAATATATGCCGAGAATATGGAATGGATGGATTACCCAAGGAGTGGTACAACCACATTCCAAGCCCGGTCACGACAGTAGGCCCATGCACAGTTCTATATGATCAACAAATCCACACTGATAGAACTGTGCCCGCTAACAAACCGGATATCATACTCAGGCATAATGCGGAAAAATGGTGTAAGTTAATTGAGGTATCCGTGCCGGCAGAAAAAAACACCACAGCCAAAGAAGCAGACAAAAGGCTGAAATACAGAAATTTGGAAATTGAAATAACCAGGATGTGGGGAACAAAAACTGAAACGATTCCGGTCATCGTGGGAGCATTGGGAGCCATGCCACATTCAATAAAAGGAAATTTAAAGAAGATTATGAAGAACCTAAAAGAAGAAACCATCCAGGAAATCGCACTATGTGGGACGGCCCACATTCTTCGGAAAATATTATAAATAGCACCACCGATATTCGAGTATTTGTCCCTAAGGAATCGGGTAGAAACCTGGGATAAATATTTAAAAACCCCGACAAATAAGAGCCTTGTCGTGTTTAATAGTGGACATAATAATAATAATAATAATAATAATAATAATAATAATAATAATAATAGAAAAACAAATTGTAAACAGATTTTAATTCCCAAGATTATTGTTTATTTAAGTTTGTTAAATTTTCTTAAACATCATTTTCCCTTTTTACACACATAATATATACATAATAAAACTTTTTGAATAATAATAATAATATCAAAATTAATTATGTATAGAAATAATTACTTTATATTATTATTTGTTTATTTATTTATTTATTAAATTTTGTTTATTATTATTATTATTATTATTGATAAATAACGATTAAGTTACCTTCCCCCAAAAAAATTAATAATAATTAATAATAATAAACTCATTATCATCATTTTTTTTAAAAATTTGTTTACGTTAAAAACTTTATTTTATAATTATTATTATTATTATTATTATTATTATTATTATTATTATTATTATTATTATTATTTGTTTTTAAAGATGGCGTAAATAATAATTTTAGTAAATAAGTTATAATAAATTTTATTTATTTAAAAAGAAAAAAAAAAAATTTTGTTTGTTTTCGATGATGATGACGTTTCACGTTTATTTTCTATACAATTTGTTAGAATTAAGTGAATGTGCGTAAAAAAGGGGGAGGGGGAATGAGAGAGAGAGAGAGAGAGAGAAGGATAAAATTAAGGTTATGAAAATTTCGGATCGAATATAAATATTTTTTTAAAAAGTTATGGCCGAGCGAAAAGTTTTTTAATTTTTTATTATGCTTCATCCGAAATATAATTTTTTTTTAAAATTTAGTTTAGAAAGAGGATCGGGGAGCTGAGGGGCGGGGAGGAGGGGGAATTTAAAGACTAAGAAAAAAAATTAATGAAAAAAAACAAAGAATGAAAAAAAAAAATAAAAATAAAAAAAAAAGGGAGGCTGTAAAAAGATTTTTTTTTTTCGGAATAAGAGAAAATGAAAAATTAATCTGTACTGAAATCATCGTCAGATTTTCTTTGTTTTTTTTTTTTTTCCAGCGAGTGTTTATCACCGCACAATTTCATCGGCATTTACGAAAAAGAAGAAGTAAAAAAAAAAAAAAAAATTTTTTTTTTTATTATTTCATCTTTTCAAAAGCTTTTTTTTTTTTTGATTTTGATAACCCTTTTTTTTCAAACCTTCTAAACTCCACCTTTCCATTTCAAAAAAAAATATCATTGAAAACAAAAAAAAAAAAAAAATATATGAACCCAAGAGTTTTCCTTTTTTTTTCCTTTTTTTCTTTTTTTTTATGAAATCTGAGTTATGAAAAAAGAGAATTCATATTTTTTTTCCTTTTTTTTTAGAATTAAATTTAAATTAGAAAAAAAGAAAAAAAAGGAAAAAACGTGGAAATAACCAGATAGAAAAATTCAAATAAAAATTTATGATTTAAGACCCCCAAAACTACCCCAAACAATAAATTTTAATAAAAAATTACTTTTTAGTTTACTCAACTATAAAAAAAAAAAAAAAAAATCGATTAAAAATGATTTAATACCATTAAAAATTATTATTATTTTTCTATCTCTCTCCATTCTCTCTTTCTCTCTCTCTCTTTATCTCTTGTCTGAATCTTCTCAGTTAACAGAAAATAATTTTTTTTCTATGGAAAAACAAATAAAATCGAATCGAATCAAAATAACAAAACGTGCAAATTAATTTTTCCTTTTTATTAAAATAATAATAATAATACTATCCAGTCAAAATTATCCAGGTCCCAGTTAAGATAAGTAAACGTTATTTAAATTTAACTAACGCTTATGTACATAATATTTCGAATACATATTTTATAAAAAATTAAAAAATTTATGCTAAAAGCTTTTAAGGGAACGAAAAAAATTTTTTTTTTTTTTTTTAAATAATAATTTACGTCGCGACAATCTATGACAACTTTATTTATTTATTTATTTTACGAATTTAATAATAAAAAAATAAATAAATAAAAAATTCAAACGTTTAAATAAATAAATAAATAAAAAATTTAAACGTTTAAATAAATAAATAAATAAAAAATTTAAACGTTTAAATAAATAAATAAATAAAAAATAACTCGGTTCTCTCTCTTTCTCTCTCTCTAAATCATTTATTAAAAAAAAAAAATGATAAACGTTTGATTTATTTATTTGTTATAAAATCCAAATGATAACTTTCGAAAATAATAATAATAATAAGGAAAACATTGACCGTGAAAAACTAAAAAAAAAAACCGGGGAAAAAAAACTTTTTAGAAAATTTATGTATAAAAAAAAGTTTTTTTTTTTTTTTGACTTCATTCCTGTTCAAAAAAAAAAAAAAAAAAAAAAAACAAAAACAAAAGAAATTTAACGTAAGAGCGAAAAATGTTTTTAACAACCGGAAACGGAATTACCCCATTATTATTATTATAATTATAATTAACCAGTTAAAAAAACCGTTAACAATAACATTAAATTAAAAAACAAAACAAAAAAAACTTTTTTTTTTTTTTTTACGGTAAAAGATTAGCCTTAATTTAATTACTAAATGTTTTTTTTTTATTGATTTTAGGGGGGACGTAAAATCTTTTGTTTTCATAGAGTAAATAAATAAAAAAAATAAAAAATTTTCCTCCCCCGTATATGTCAACGGAAGTAAAAAAAAAAAAAAAAAACATTCATAAATTCTTCAATACGAAAGGATAATGTTATAATATATAATATGGGGTAATAAAAAAAAAAAAATGGCGTCGCATTACTATCGTAACAATCTCGAAACATAAATTTACTTCTATCCCTCAACCGTGGATATCTTAATGACGTGGACTAAAAAAAAAAAAAAAATTTCTTTACGACGACTTAAAAAATACAAAAAAAAAAAAATAGATAAAAAAAAAAATTTTTTTTCTGTAATCCTATTAAATTATAAAATCAGTCTTGACTTCTCCTCCTTCCCCTCCTCCTCCTCCTGCTTTTACCCCCACAACACTAAAAATATCGATTAAACAACCCGAATGGAAAAGAAAAAAATTTTCTTAAAAAAAAAACAAACATACGCCGAATAATAATAATAATAATAATAACAATAAATAAGAAAACAAACGAAAACAAACGCGGGAAGGGGGGTGGGGCGGCGGGAAACCCAAAAATATCAAAATTAATTTTTTTTTTCGGTTTGTTATAAAATAAAAGGAAACTTAAAACCTTTTCCATATTTAAAAAAAAAAAATGTTTAAATTAACGTGGCGTAAGAAAAAAAAAACAAAATGGCCGACTAGTATATATATAAAGACTCAGATTTATTTGTTATGAATAAATAAATAAATAAAATTTTCTTTTCTTTTCTATTTTTAATTAAATTTTCTCTTTGTTACTTTATATTAAATGTAAAATTTTTTTTTTTTTTAACCGTTATTTTAAAATTTTCTTTTCGTTATTTTTCAAATTTATTTTATCGATAATAATAATTTCCTTTGAAAAATTTTTTTTTTTTCCTTTTAAATATTTTCTTTTTTTTTTTTTTTATTATGTTCGTTTCTTTTACCTTAAATTTAATGTTATTATTAACGCACTTTATTAATAATAAAAAGATTCTCCTTCCCTTCCTCCCTTCCTCCCTCCCTTTCCTCCTTCCTCCCATTCGATTGGTTTCTATTTATAAAATTGAAATTATCATCATCATCATCATCATCATCATTATATTAAAGATAGATGGCAAATAATAACAAATTTAAAATAAAAAAAAAAAAAACTTTTACCTGTTTTTTTTTTTTATTTTTCTTTTCAATTTCCTTTTTTCCTTTTTTTTTATTTACGCCCAAAGATTTTTTATTAAGATTTATTATTATTATTATTTATTCTATGAAACAAAAAAATTTTCTTTTCTTTCTTTTCATTTAATATCTTCAATTTATTATTATTATTATCATCATTATTAATTTTCTATTCATTTTTTTTCTTTTTCAATTTATTTATTTGCATTTAGAAAAAAAAAAATGGATGAAAAAACAATAAGTTAAAAAAAATGTAAAAATTTTAATATTACCGCCACTTACGTTTTCCCCTTTCCCTCTCGTTCCCCCTCTCCCCTTACCCCTCCC